TGAGGAACTATATTAAAGGGTCACAGTATTAGCAAGGTTGAGAACCTAAAGGAAGAAGAAGCATAAGGGTAGATTCTATTGGTGGAGAATGCAAACTTCATGGGGCCTCGTTCTTAGAAATGTGTTCTACTTACTGAGAGACAAAGCTTAGGGTCAGGGCCTCGACAATGTTCATGGTACTGAAGGATTCCTTTAGGTAAAGACTGGCTCCTGATAGATAGCAGGGGATCCCCAGGTTGTTTGACCACTTTCACTCCGTCATTCCAGACATCATTCATTTCCTTCCTTTGAAAAAAATAAAAACCAGGCTCATGTGATTGACAATCCTGGTTTCTCCAGTGCTTACTCTAAGCTGTGCTTCCTACTCAGTACCACTGTGGATACCAGAGCGTACTGGCTGGAGTCTGTGGGCAGTTTATTTTCCCTCAAGTTAGATGACTGCACAATGTAGCCTCTCAGAGATACCTCCAATAGTTTCCTAGGTGCTGTAGAACCTACCACACATCAAGTAGCTAAAAATGGCAGAAAGAAGTTTCCAACTGAGATTTTTGGAAAGTTTGTCTCTGTATGATATTCTGAAAATAAAAGATCCTGTTTTTTGATGGGTCCTGCGATTCCCGAGCTTGTGAATAGACAGAATTATAATTGATCTCTACCTTTACAACACTTTGACTCTTTCCACTTTCTGTCTTTTTCTCTCTGTCTCTCTCTATTGCTCTGTCTCTCTGTCTTTCTGCCTCTCTCTCTCTCTTACACACACACACACACACACCACCACCACCACCACCACCACTCATGAACTTGGGCCCCAAAACCCTGACTTAGGGGTGATGAGGGCATGAAGAGAGGGCACACACAGAAGAGTGGGATTGAGTGGTCTAGACAGATGGAAAAGTCACAGCACCCATAAAGCTCAGTATGCTTGCTATATACAGTCGAGCAGGGAACCAGGATCATTGCATACAGCTGTACAAGAAGCCGGCTTAGTTAACCTTGGGAGGATTAGTTTCTGTGGGGGAGTAGTCTTCAGTCTGTAAATATCCAAGTGGAGAAAACTCTGGTGGATGTTTTTCACATACACGGTTAGCATTCACACTCAGTCTTACGGAGGTCTTTGCCATCCCTCTGAACCTCAAGGCAGGTTTAGGGGAGTTTGCCAATTTCCCATGAAGGTGTCACCTGTGTGTTATTGGGTGCCTAGCAGCTTCCCTGGTCTCTACCCAAAGAAACCCTTACTGCCACTCCCACACCAGTTAAGCTAGCCAGCAACGCTGCTAGACACTGTAAAATGTCTCCTGAGTACAGAATCATCACCTAATTGAGAGCCACTGACATAAATCACAGCTGTCATACACAAGATAAACTTTGTCTGCAGCGTAAGAGTTATTAGCATGATAACAGAGAAAAACATTTTAAACAAATACATCAGGTAAAGGGGATTTAATTTAAAAACTCCACAGCCAGCCAGTTCTGCTGATGACAGCTCGCTGCAGCCAGACTCCTAGAGTTACACTTGAGGGGTCTCCCAATCAGCAGCTAAATTTAGGGAGAGAGCTCTGAGTGGCTGATTCTTTCTTGTCCCTGCTGGTTCAGCTCTCAGTGGACAGCTTTCAACAGGGAGACTGTGAGTACTGTCCATGACTGCAGGGGGATGCCTCAGATCTCTCAAATCCACCTGTTCCACAGGTCATTTTGCTCACAGTTTACCCTTAACGTCTTAGATCAAAATATGTTAAGGCAGGAAAAAGCCAGGAAGGCTCCTTTCACACCCTGCTCCCTGGATGCTCTCATTAGTCTAATGTGATTGATGTCTTCCAGTTGTTACTAGTAAAGGGCATGAGACTTGGAGCACTTGGCTGAATTACGGTTGGGATTCCTTGATGAGTCTTGTGGATACTCCTTTTCCCTAATCAACTATTTTCTCAGCAGGCTTTTTCTCCCTCCAAGCTACATCTGTGAAGTTAACACCCTGGTAGAGTCTACTTTCTCCTTCCTAATTCTCTTTAGCTTTATTTGTAGTTTGGTTCTGTGGGGGATCCCAAACCCATGGTGTGTAAAATGTGGCACATATCAAAACTGCTGACACTCTTTCAAAGCAGAGGGAGAGAGAGCCAAGTTTCAGGAGTGTGCTCAATTTGAAAAATGGCTTGGAAACTCTTGATGTAGGAAAATGTCTGGGATGTTTGAGAAAGGACATTGATGTTCCTAGCTGGAGAGAGGAGACCATGGACCGCTGTTGAATGCAGACACGTTGCTGCTGCCTCCACTCATTTTCTCTCTTTCGTGTGTGCCCTTCCTTTCTCCCTAGTTCTCTGGCTGGAGAGGGGAGCCGCTAGAGAAGAGCATGGTGTGCGGGGACCTGGCGCACAGCGCCTGTTGTACATCATTCTTTCTCCTCCTCTGCAGTCACAAATGCTAAGTGGCAGCCTCAGCAGAACTGTCCCTGAGGAGCCTCCAGCAGGAGTTTCCGTGACGGTTTAATGATCAGATCTGACCAGATGGCAGAGTTGGGAACTTTCTGAATAGTTACTTTTTGATCATTTCTGCTAAGCTTCCTAATTCTCCTTGGACCAATCAGCTTTAGGCTCTGATAGTTGTAAGGAATCTCACAATTTGGCCTGTGAGACTATTACTGATAATCATTTCCCATAGTTCAATGGGAGGGCAATTTTCTTTGTTGGCAGCAATTTTATTTTAAAGGACTGAAGTGACAGACTGTGGCAGATTGATAACAATGGAGGATGGGGATCAGATTAAATGGATTTAGGCTCTGCCAATGTTTTTGTGTATACTTAGTCTGAGTAGAAAGACCACAGCTAGAGTTTCAGGTTTTTTTTTTTTTTTTGTATATTATTCCCATAGATCCTGAATTTTGGGCTGCTGGTCACCTGTGCTTGAAGTCTGGGCTGCTGTTGTGGCTGTTGTAATGTCTTCTTGAGATAATATGCTCATTTGTAGAACGATAGCCACTGAGAGTTCACAGCCGGGTTTCTTGCCCAGATAGTTGTCCTTGGCCACCTAAACAGAGGGAACTATTTCTGTCCACATTAGTCATCCTCAAGGTTCTAGTTCAATGACCTAAGAGGGGAGCCAAAGGCTCATTTTTTTTGCCTCAGTCCTGGACATTTCTGAAGGACCATCTGAGTTCTAAAGTTAGAATTGGTTGAGGCTTCTGTGTAGCAATTTTATTCCAAACCATCCTCTTAGGGTGCTGTCCTCATCCTATTATAGGTGATATTTACCTAGAACACTCCCCTATACATACTGTTCACTGAATTCTCTTCCAGTTATGTTTCTGGAAGTCAGACTAAGACAGTCACTTCGCAAGGAAGGACAGAAGTGAATGTCATGCCAACTAGCTCTAAGGATAGTCAGCCATAGTCTGAGGATGACTCATCAGAACAGAGAAATATCTTTTATTTAATACTGGAAATAGTATGAAGTTTTAAAATTAGACAATGATATTTTTTGTTAATGCCAACTTAGACATCTTTTACCACCACGTGAAGCGTAGTTCCAGGAATGGGTTATATCTACTTGAGTTGTTGACTCAATGGAAACTCCCAGACATCTTGGCTATAACCAAGACTATTGGTAGCTCTCCACAAACTGGAAGTGAGATTCTGTTACTTAAGACAGCACTTACATATCTTATTGAACACAGGGAATTTGAGCTGGTGCCTAACCAGAGATTTTACCCATACTGACTACTGCTCATGGTACTCAAAGGCACTCTATTTGTCACCAGAGGAGAAAGGTTACACCAACCCAGTAACAACCCTTTGATATACAATGGTGAACTGCTTGTAGATGCTGTGGTGCAATAGCGTCCCAGAAGTTGTAGGAATAACTAGCCTGGTTTTGACTGGTTTTAGGGTCCACTCCCTGAGATAGAACACATGTCTGACAATGCTCTGGGAGCCAAGTCACTTGAGATTAGATAGGCCATGGGCCTAGGAAATAACCAAATAGTACTGTTTTGATAAAGAACAAGAGTAATAAAATGACTCCTAATGACTTCTGCTATCCAATAATTTAAGTATTATTTTTTAGTTATGTGTATACAATGCATACTTTTTTCACTTTAGAAATGGTTTTATTTATGTACAAATTAATAGGCAATATTCTTTCCCTTCTGTTTTCCAAGAACAAAGAGTTTTTGTTTGGCTGGGTTTTTTTTTTTAAAGAAAATCAAAAATGCTTGGTGTGATGGTGCACACCTTTAATCCCAGCAATACAGGAGTCAGAGGCAGGTAGGTCTCCGTGAGTTCCAGGACAGCTAAAGCTACACAAAAGAGAGATCCTGTCAAAAAAAAAAAAAAAAAAAAAAAAAAAAAAAAAAAAAAAANAAAAAAAAAGAAAGAAAGAAAATCACAAAATAAATTTTAAAAGGCACCAAGATTCTTCTGCTTCTAGACCATTGCTGAGCTGGAGGGAATTGGGGGTGGAGGAAGCAGAAGTCCCAAGTTGGAGTTGAGCATTCTCCAAAACAGTAACAAGGTATCATTCAGGAAGTTTATTAAGCCCCGCCCCACCCCCACCCCCACAAGCTGCCTGCTGCCTACTAAACGCTGAAGCAGGACAGACAGCCCAGCATAACTCAGCAGCACGGTGGCACTGTATGAGGTCATTATGCAACTCTAAGGAGATACTAAAGAGACTAAAGCAAAACAAGAGACTGGGGTTGTCATGAGAACGGTTAGTTCCTTGCTGTGACCTCTGCATCAATAACCCTAATGAACAGACTATCCTAGTGCAAGAAAAATATTACTTTATTACAGATTTCACACTAGCATGATAGTCAGTGCAGAAATGCTGCCTGGTGCCATTAAGCAACGATTCAACCATGTTATGCCCAGGGTTCACACCTTCATCTACACACAAACTTTCATGTTTCTGTGAGCAGAACACAGTGAAGCAGAACACTGAGTTGAGACCTAACACCGACAATGGATGCTTTTACAGGCTGCACACGTGAGTCACCTTTGCCTGGGGGGACATTATGTAACTAATGAAGAACTTAGGGACCGACAGTCTTCACTGGTTTCCAGTGTGCACTGGGCTGGCTGCAGGCGGCACCATTAGGAAGCGCCCTCCATGTCCACATCCTCCTGTAACTGCTGTACCATTTTTTTCCTCCAGCTGCTTTCCTTTGCCTGCAAGAGGAGCCCGGATAAGATGGATGTTCTGTTTGACTTCTTTGATATCCTGAACCTTCTGTGGCTCTTTGTTTTTCTTCAACCTGTTCCTTATAAACTTAGCCTGCCGTTTCTGTTTGATCTCTTTAACCCTCTTCATTGCATCAATAGTTTTATTCCAGAGTTCTCGCTGGTATTTCACAGGTTCGTTTCTACGTTTTTGAAATTCAAATGAGTTGTCCACCGTGAGCTCCTTGCTGGCTGCCTTCCGGAAGGCTTTAGTCCACCTGACCTTGCTTGGATTCCGCTTCTTCTTGAAGTTTCTATGACGCTTGGATTTGCAAAATCGGAACACCTTGTAGTCGTTGCGGACGAACATCATGCCTTAGCCAGGGTAGATCGGCCCGGAACAGAAATAACATTTCTCGATCCTCCTGTTTACTCTGCGTGGGCCCCCTACAGTGCATACTTTGACTACTTCCACTGGCCTCCTTCCTTCCATCCTTATTCACCTCACATGCTTTAGATATTAAGAGAATTAGCCATTTATACAGAATTTGATTTGGTGTATAACTACTTCTTTTAGTTTCTTATTGTTTCCTTTTGTGCTTAAATCCTTTTGTTATATATGCATGTGTGTGTGTAAGTGTATGTGATGGTTTTTCCTCCTCTTCTTTTCTGCAATGTTCTTTAAAAATTTAAAAATTCCCTTGCCGGCAAAGGAAGCCTATACCTAATAATCAGAAATCTGAAGGGACATGGTAAATTATTAAGAGTTTTGAACATTGTGAGATGATTCTTGATGTACTTGGGAAAGTTGTATCTTTTTCTTAATTTAGTTTTTCAAGTTTACTTTTGCACTTTTTTACCCTCCCTCCCTCCCTCTCTCCCTCCCTCCCTCCCTTCTTTCCTCTCTCTCTCTCTCTCTCTCTCTCTCTCTCTCTCTCTCTCTCTGTATACAGCTGACACAGTACAAGCACATCTAGAGATCAGAGCACAGCTTGAACAATCGGTTCTTTCTTTCTACCAAGATTCTTATTATGCAACATGGGCACTTAATTCAACCAAGAATTTCCCAGGTATAGGTCACAGTGAAATGATGGGCTATCCATTATTCGAAAGCTTAAGTCTAAGGACAAGACACATAACAAATTCACTCCCAAATCTTTAACTCACCGTGATAGTACATTGAGAATAATACATGCTTCTCTGTTGGGAAGAAAATTCCTGACTATAGTTAAAGTACTAAAGAGAGTAAGAAAATTTGTAGAGGATGAGACTGGGTCATGTTTTAGAGCATGGTTAATAAATGGTCATGAAGCACCAGCAGGAGAGTTCAGGCTTTGGACACTGTGGACTCTCTGTTGCAGTTATTCAACTGTACAACATAAATGCATAGTGTGGGTATAGTATGTGGGTATAGTAAATAAAATGCTATTTACAAAAGCAAACAACAAGTTGATGTTCATCTATGTGTCATAATTAACTGGCCCTTCTTAAAGAGGACACTTGAGAGTTTATTAGCACTGAGAGATGGCTCAGTGGGTAAAGGAACTGATCTTTGGGCCTGTTGACCTGCGCTTGATTTCTATGGCCTTCCCGGTTGAAAGCACTGACTCCTCTAAGTCGTTCTCTAACCCTGATATGTGTACTAGTGTGGAAGTAGCTAGTGTCCGACCTCACAAACACAGAACGTATGTAAGTGTAAAAACATTGGAAATGAGTTCATTAGTAGATGAGAAGCAGCAATGAGGAAAGAATTCACACACAGCTAAATGTCAATGTTAAGGATTGAAGCTCTCCCTGCCTTCTCTGCTTTTCTCCTTTCCTACAACTATTCCTATATAACTTATTTGAGAGGGTAGTGGATCCCGTATTCCTTTGACCTTTATCACCCAGAAATACACTAAATTTGTACTTGCTTCTCTTGTCTATACTTTGCAAAAATGCCATAGGATGTATATGCCTCACAAGTTCTCAGAAACCCTGCTGTATATTGGAGTCAACATTGTATTTTAATTTGAGTGCAGGTACTGTCTTTCCTCTTATCATTGCTGTAGTATGGTAGAACAAAAGTTGTTATTCCCTGTTGACTGCGTACAATACTCATCTTAGTTTAAACATGTCGATGACACGTTTTTGTAGAATATAGCTGCTCTATTGATGTCCGTCTTATCTCATTAACTTGAAGACATTGTTGCTTAGAATAAAGCTTAAAAATACTGAAGTCTATTTCGAATGAAAACTGTTTTTTTTTTCCAAGAAGTTATAGGCAATGCTAGGTCTGTGCTCTCATTTATGGTAATTTCCACATTCTAGAGAGTCTTCTTCATCAATCTCTTTTGAAGCTGTTCTTGTTCATCAATATATCTATCAATAGCACTATCACCCTGACACACGCAGTCTGTTTCTTAGACCAGTACACTTTTCTTCTAAACCCAATTTTCTCCCTCCTCCATCAGTTCTCCGCCTGTTTTGCTCACCATGTGCAGGTTATTTTTGTAGTGAATTAATCAATGCGTGTCACACCATTAATTAAAACCCCTGGCTAATTTCTACATTCCTATAGAGATGGTGTAAACTCCCTAAGTTATGTTACTCAAAATTCACCTTCCTACTATCCATCCATCTTCCTGCATTTCCTGTCATACACCCCTGGTTCTCTACTTTACACTAGATGTTGTAAACATTAGTTATTAGTTTTGTAATATACTGTCATACACTTTACTCATCTCTGGACTTACGGGTCTGTCACTAAAGACACAGTTTGTTTAGTTGATTTAGTTTGATACCTAAACTTGGTGTCAGTAAATATATAATACTGTCTATATTGCTTAACCATTCTATGGCTCAGCTGATTTTCATGTGAGAGGGATATTTTCTATGAAGAATTCATAATTCACATGTTTATTTTGAGGATAATAGTAAGTGATCGTAGGTTTGTCTGAAGCATAGGAAGTGACATGATCCATCACTGTCACTCTGAGTGCTTTGCTTCTGTGTTAGCAGAATGAGCTTTTATATATTCTTAAAGACAGGTAAATATCACCCACTGTGTAGAAACTTTAGTTCCATCCCCTCAAGCACATTGCATGTACTTCCAACATAACATTTAATGGAGCATATAACATGATTCATGGCATTTCGTTTCTCTGCATTATTAGACTATGAGTTTATTTGAAAAAAGAATTGAACTTCAGCTCTCTCTGCCTCTGTCTCCCTGCCTGTCTCTCTGTCTCTCTCTCTGTCTCTCTCTTCTCTTCTGCTGTTCCTGTCCTCAGAAGCCAGTTCCCCTAGCATCCCCCCTTTTACCTTTACCTCTCTACCAATAAAAATAGTCTTTGTGAAAAAAATTGAAATTTTATATATTTTGTTCTATGTAGTAGATATTCAATTTGTTGAATGAATAAATGAATTATATAGAGACTTATATGATCTGTGAAAAGGCTTTTACCATAGAATGTACTCACTCGTATTTGGTTTCTAGCCATAAACAAAGGATATTGAGCCTATAATTAGTGATCCTAGAGAAGCTAAATAAGGAGAACCCAAAGAAAAACATATAGGCATCCTCCTGAATATTAACCTTCATCAGGGGATGAAAGGAGACAGAGACAGAGACCCACATTGGAGCACCAGACAGAAATCTCAAGGTCCAAATCAGGAGCAGAAGGAGAGAGAACACAAGCAAGGAACTCAGGACCGCGAGGGGTGCACCCACACACTGAGACAATGGGGATGTTCTATCAGGAAATCACCAAGGCCAGCTGGCCTGGGTCTGAAAAAGCCTGGGATAAAACTGGACTCACTGAACATAGCAGACAATGAGGACTACTGAGAACTCAAGAACAATGGCAATGGGTTTTTGATCCTACTGCACGTATTGGCTTTGTGGGAGCCTAGGCAGTTTGGATGCTCACCTTACTAGACCTGGATGGAGGTGGGTGGTCCTTGGACTTCCCACAGGGCAGGGAACCCTGATTGCTCTTTGGGCTGATGAGGGAGGGGGACTTGATTGGGGGAGGGGGAGGGAAATGGGAGGCGGTGGCGGGGAAGAGACAGAAATCTTTAATAAATAAATAAATTAAAAAATAAAATAAAAAGAATGTTTCCAATACTTATAAAACTAGAGATGCTGGTACAAGGAATTATCAAATATTTCAAATGAAGATCCATACTGAATTCTTGTAGTTTTGACAGTGTATTTTTGTTTGTACATAGTCATGTGTGTGTGTTTGTGTATGTAGGTTTATATGTATGTACATATGGATACCTGAGAACAACCTAAAGTATTATTCCTCAAGAGCATGCCTGTCATTTTAAAAATTATTTCCTTTCCTTCCTTCAAACCTTTTCATATATGTCTCCTTGCTCTCTTTCCAATCCGGAACCTCGTTTTCGTCAATTGTATGTGCATAAATGTTGAGACAGTACTTTGCTGGTCCAGAACTCTGGTACTCACCATGTAGCAACTAGGCTAGGCTGGCTGGCCAACAAACCCAAGGGATCTGCTTGTCTCCCCCTCTCTAGCACTGAGATTATAGCCCACACACCAACTCCAACCATTTTATATATGTCCTGGGGACGGTCTGAGACATTATGCTTGCAAGGCTATCCCATCTGCAAAGTGAACTATCTTCTCAGAGCTTTCATAGAGTATTTTAAACAAATATCAGATATTATATATTTTGGTTCATAAATGAATCAGTACATATTCCTTTAAGGGACATTATTTTAAACACAATAAACAAATCTTTTATTATCAAAGATCCATTATATTTTAAAATGATTTCAGTAGTTGCCGTAAGATTTCTGAGTTATTAGATTATTCATATTAATATTCTCTTATCAGAGTTCATATATTGTCTTAAAACTCTTAATTTTAAATGGCATATCTTCTTTACCACTGACTATTATTTTTATACGGTAGGTCATTTGTAACAAAATTTCCTATAAATTAGGAATTTGGATGATTTAAATTCTATGCTATTTTTCAAAATTTCTACTCACATTTCCTGTTCCATTAAAGATTTTTTGGAGGTTAATTAAATTCAAGTTCATTTTCCAATGAGAAACTAGAGATTCTAGTATTTACTTATTGTTTAAGTAGAGTATATTTGAAGTATATATGTATTGTTTAAGTAGGAATGCAATGTCTGCTTGATAAGATTTGTCAGTAAGCTATAAGGAGTTTAAACTTCATTCAGATATTTTTAAATCTTTTCAAAAGCCTCTTGCACAATGTTTTTATGATCATTATTTTGAGTCATTCTTTCACCAGGAGTTACAAAATAGTGATTTTTTTCCCATTCTACTTTTTTGGGCACATATTAGCTGTGATATTTTTTTGTTTTTATATGAAGAAATTAAGAATCCTTTAACTATTTAGTTACCTCTGAGTATACTTCATAAAAGAAAGGA